CTTTTGTTATTTCCTTTTCAACAGTGAAGAACGACATAATTTTGCACTTTGGAAGATTGTGGAAAATAAAAGTTGAACTCACAAAAATGTTATTAATTTTTACACCATGTTTTCCTGAATAAGCCATTATATCTGATTTGCACATGATACTAAGCAATAATAGGTGGAAGCTAACTAACAAACCACATTACAGTTGTTTGAACTAGACCATTATACTTTCAATTATTTTCAGATTGCACTTCTTTCTCTCTGTGGGATTAATTTAAACAATATCAAGACTTAACAAATTTATGAAGAAATATAAAGTGAACTTTAGAAGGTTTTCCATAAACATTATATTTTTACCTGTTTATGCCTTAGTTCCATTTTAATTCGTAAGTCTTTGGGTTCCTTTTCCTCTCTGACGCCTTTAGTTTTAAGGTCTTCCAGTATACCGCTGTTTACAATTTCACTTTGCAATAGATGCTGTAAAAAATCTTGTACCGTGGTGCCTTCCACTTCTTGCTCCAAATAACCATAGAAATCTAGAATACATAAATCATACTGAAATTGAATGTAAAATGGTATTTTTAAACTTTCTTTCCTGAATCAGGAGTTGCAGCTTGCAGTCTCCACATGTGCCATCCCCAAGGTCCTATTTGTGCTTCCCAGAGTATCCCACGACACCAAAAATGAGCTTAAAATGTTTGTTTTATGAAGGCGTTTATATTTAGAAATGGTGAAACCATAGTGGAAATCATAAGCTCCTGTAAGATGAAATACACCTTTACCTAGATGTAAAGATACATCTATCTTTAAAATCTCTCCAAACACAGACCAATTACACTGAGTTTTGAACTCTGAAATTCACTTTCTAAACGCTGAAATTCACACAAAATATCACTTTCCAGTAGCAGGATTTTTAGCTTAAGAATGTTAAAATAAGAGTGGAAAATATATCTACAAAGCCTCTGAAAAATGAATGGCTATTTTTTTTCCCTTGATTGTCCTATGGGCAGACAGACTGGATACAAATCAAAGTAATATTTGTTACATCGTTTTCTAAAAAATATTTTAATCTCTCTTTGTAAGATTGCCTATAAGGAATACAAGAAAAGAGAGAAGGGCTCTTCTATGACAGTCCTGTTTTTCTGGAAAAGGATACTTTATTGACTATTTAGATTATTAGATACAATAATGTTTTACTTTCCATTTAATTGTTTTGTGTGAATTTTACCAGTACTTGCTAGTACGTGTATCAGGAGTTTTTGCTATTATGGGAATGCTTAAAATAGATTTAAAATCAAGTCTCACCATCAAATTTTTTATATTTCTGAAAGCCAGCAACAGGCTCCTGTAAAGAAACAGGGTTGGGTGCTGAATTTTGAACATCATTGTCTTCATCACTTGCCAGTTCCAATTTCAATTTTGAATTCATCCAGTCATTAAGCAACTCTTGAGCTGCATTGATGAAAGCAATAAAAATATTACTAGATTTACCAACTAAATTATCAACTAAAGCAAAAGTTTAAAATATGAAAGGAGTTCTATACCCCAATCTAACTCTGCATAGAGGCAAATCAAATTGGCTTTTGCAGTATTAGTCCCAAGGAGGTTTATCCAAGATTTTTATTCTGATTTGTTAAAAATTCTTGGTATTATTTATCGTTGATTTTATATTTGAAAGTTCACAAGCCTGGGATGAATTGGGAAAGTATAAATCTCATTAGTTAGAATGATACACAGATATTTAAAAACATCTATACAATATGGTCTCCATCTAAAGCTATCCTCAATTACATATACTCACTTTGAATAACTGAGGCATATTTTGTCAATTTTCTCTATAAAGTTCCATTGATATTACCTTCCACATCATACATAAATCAGGTATTTTCACAATCTCTTGACATAATGGGATGTTCCAACTCCATCTCCCACAAAATTACAAAATTGTAATAGGGAGATGGGAGAAGAGATCCCAGCTTTTCCAGGAATGGGTAATCTATTGTTCATTTTTCTACAATACTGTCAAAAATATAATTATTCTGAATCACCTGGAGTCTACAACAAAATATTTAAGAAATACCTTCTACATATGCTTCATCATGATCTAGCAGCTGCTCTGTTGTTTCCAAATCCAGCACTGGACCATGAAGTCCATGAGAACAGGATGCCTTTTTTAATGAAAAGGCTTCAGAAACAGCAAATTCGGAGGCTTGTTCCACCCGCTGAATTTAAAAATATATATAGAAAAGTTATTAAGATTCACTTATTTTGTCTAACATAACAGAAGATATTTTGATTGGCAATAAGGTTGGAAGTACATGGTATTTATACTGCTGCAATGGTGGGATTCAACTTTTTCTACTGTTAGGGGCCTTGGAGTGGAGCCTTATTAATTACATGGGAGGGTGGGTTATCTGTGACTATGTAATAAACTGACTCTAACTAGCATCTGTCCAGTGGGGGACTCAATTTTTTTTACTACCGGTTCTGTGAGCGTGGCTTGGTGGGCATGGCAGGGGAAGGATACTATAAAATCTCCAGTCAGAAGTGGCATTAGCCGGTTCTCCGAACTACTCAAAATTTCCGCTACCATTTCTCCAGAACTGGTCAGAACCTGCTGAATACCACCTCTGTTCTGCTGGCTTTATCTTTTTTATTTTGATTGGTCCTTTTATGTATTGGAGAGTATCTCTTTTATTGATGCATTATTTTGTATTAAAATAATTAGCCACATAGTTTTTTGAACCCGAGAAGCATATTAATACTTAAGATAGCATCCACTAAAATGCTAGAATTTAAGTTATCTGTCCCATTGACAGATGTGTGTGTGTTCACACACCCGCACATTAGATTTATGTCCCACCTTCTTCCAAGAACTCAGGGCAGTTTATGAGGGAACGTTCTTTCATTTTATCCTTATAAAAGCAACATTGTGAACTAGATTGGGCTCAAAGAGTCACTGACTCAAAATTTCCATTACTAAGAGTGGGCATGAATTTGTACTGTCCTAATCCAACCCTTAACAATTATGGTTCTATCAGTAGATTTATAGATATATGCACATTTCTCAACATAATTAAATTTACATGTGTTTATTTTCTTATTCTAATAATAATTTTAATAGAATTTAGCATCTGTGCAATTTACAGTCCAGTATTATTCATAATTATTCAGAAAATGAGCTTCATCTTACCATGGGAACTCAAGATTTCGTCCCACTGAATAAGTTGGGGTTTTTTTTCAGATATTTGAGACTGAGCATTACTTCATTTTTCCTTACCTTTATCCAGTGCTCTATACTGTCAGCATCAAACTGTGGCTGGGAATTAAAGAATAAAATATTTTAATTTTCAGTTAAAGATCAAATTAAAGTAAAATTAAGAGATCTTTAAGTTTTAAAACTTAAAAACATACTAACTAGTTTCATTAGTTTACTATATTTATGTAATGTTATTCAATAGGCATAGCCTTTGATTTACATTAACTCAAGTTTTACAATAAATATTCTCAAAATAAATGAGGCAAAGTATTAGTCATTACTCCAAGCACAGTGGAGGCAGCAATGGAAGTACACATACTTAAAAATGCTGTCTTCTATTCTCTTTCATTGATTAAATGGCTCTAGTGTTATTCATAACTTCTGTAAGAAGGCCCACCTACATAGCAGTGCAAAGCTGGTTTTGATTTCAAAAAGTTACATAGGGTTAGATCTAATTATTTTTTAGATGGGAAGCTAATGAGTCATTTTAGGGCTGTAGGATAGACTGAGAAGTCAAAAAAGCAACTTAGATGCACAGAAAACTCATAAAACTGCTTCTGTATTGCTCCAAGAAAACCACAGCAATGCATTCACATTAGTTGAGCTAGACTTGAAGTACATGTTATCTTTTCTGTAATAAGGCACTCCCTGAATGTTATCACAGTGCAACTTTGAATAAGAAAAAGAACCCAGTTCTGCATAGCAAGAATCAGATGATTAAAGAAGCCCCTGTGGGACCACAAATCTGCTGCTGCTCAGCAACTGCTACTTCTCATTACATCTATCCTGATAGATACCCATTGGTACTCCATGAATTGGTCCAATTTCAATTGGCCTTCACTGTATCCTGTGGCAACGGGTTCTGTATGCTCTATGTGAGTACAGGTAGTCCTTGACTTACAACGAACGGTCGTTTAGTGACCGTCAGTTCAAAGTTAAACAGTGCTGAAAAAAGTGACATAGGACCGTTTTTCAGCTACGACCTTTGCAGCATCTCCCATGAGGATCATTTGATCAAAATTCAGATGCTTGCCAACTATTTCGTATTTATGACTGTTGCTGTGTCCCACGGTCATGCGATCCCTTTTTTGCAACCTTCCAACAAGCAAAGTCAATGGGGAAACCAGATTCACTTAGCAAGCAGGTTACTAACTTATCAACTGCAGCCATTCACTTAACAAATGTGACACAAAACATCGTAAAATGGGACAAAACTCACTGAACAAATGTCTCACTTAACAAAATGACACCCCCCCTCAATTGTGGTCGTAAGTCGAGGACTACCTGTACAGGCAGTTCCTTGCTGCTCGGTTACATGAAATAAAGGCACGCTTTAATATTATCCAAAAATGTGACCATCGAATAGCCGGCACAGACCGTTTGGAAAGCGATTTCAGCAATGGCGGCTCAACGTCACGGGCTTCTTTTCTTTTTACCTTTTGCCGCGATGCTGGCTGATTGAAACGTCGCCAACGATAAAGGTCAGGACGGGATCGCACGGCCGCCATTGGAAAAAGCTCAAAGGAGAACCCTCGATTTCCTCTCCGCTTGTTACCCGTGCAGTTCGGGTTGGGAGGCGAAGGCCTTTCCTTAAAGCCGGACCGACAATCGATGTCGAAGTCCTCGCTCGAGCGGAGAGTGGCGTCCCTAAGCTTTGTCATGGCAACATTTCCGCCAAGTAGTGGGCGCTTCTCTCCCTCCTTCCTATCAAACCCTCGCCGTCGAGTTTTTATGACGTTCTTATTCTCCATTGGAGAGCCAGTGTTACGGGGAAAAAACCAAAGGCCTTAACGGAAGCGGCGTTTTGCCGCGTGCGGGGATTAATGTGTAAGTGTAATTGCGCGAGGTTCAATTGCTATTTACGCTCCAGGCCAAAAGCGAGTGCCGGATCGTGGAATTCCGGGGCTTGCTAGTTTCGTCTCCTACTTTTTTTTTTTTAATCTAGTCTGCCCTTAAGACTAGATACCTCCACCCCACCCCACCTCACCCCAAAACAACCTTTGATGCCTCCAGTTGCATCGTAATGATGGCTTCTACATCCCTCAACGCGCTGATTCTGGAGACCTTGTTGCCGCACGTTTGGAGCTATAGTAGAGATTCTCAGTCATCCAGGTCACGGTTGCCCCAAAGGTCCTTTTTTTTAAAAAGGCAACTGGACTTTCTTGTTTTTCCCCCCGCCTTGAAAACGTTTCGCTTCGCTTCCAAAAAATTTCTTCAGTTCCGGACAAAATCCAGTTGCCTTTTTAAAAAAAAGCACGTTTGGAGCACGTTTGGAGGGCATTGGATTGGGTGTTCTGTACATGACAAGCAAAATATGCTAAGAAATAAGTTTGGATACTATTATTAATACTATTGCAGTTTGGAGAACCGCTGATATAGAGGAAAGTATCAAGCCTTTTTTATTTAATGAAAAACATTTTTTTTTCATTTTATGGAATTAAAACATTTACCATTATGAGGCCTTCACTGTAGTTTAGGTCTTCCAAATCTGGGTTGCAGAAATCTGGAGGACCACAAGATGTTAATATAAAGAAACAAGAAAATGTATCCTTGCTGCCCCTTTCGTGTTGATAAGACTTTTGCATAAAGCCCAGATTTAGAAACCGTACCAGTGTGTTATTCCAGTCCAGTACCAGTGTTATAAATATTTATTATTTCCTAGTCCATATAAGTGGCATGTTTTGGTGTATAAATAAGTAAGGTAATCTGATGTCTTCTACATATTTTGAACTCTACTTCATGCAGTCCAGAGTTGAAAACAAAACTTGTGCATAGTAATTCATTGCTTTTTGAATACAAGGAAAATAGTAATGCCCTCCATGATACAAAATTTCATGGAATATCAGTATAAGATAACTAATACATCATGACTATTACACTCAGAGAAAACTGGTTCAAGATGACGAAGGGCTTTGCTTATTGATCATTTGCTGTTGTCTCAGGTGTGTTGATGAAGATGAAATTAAATCTCTGCAAAATAGTTGATGGCTGTCGCCTTGGGACACTGACAAATCTCGGCAAGAAAGGGATTCAGTCGATGGAAATTCCAGGATGTCTACTTTATACCAAAATGGGATCAGCACCACACCTTACCCACGATACACTACATAATATTCAAGGTGTTCCTGTGGTTGCCCAGATTCCACTTACAACGTTGTGAGTGCAATTTCAGCCTTTGTAGGTAAAATAGATGAGGCAAATAAAGACTTTGATTTTCCTTTTGAGATATTTGTATGTTATATATGTACGTATATATACATATGCAAGTATAACTTTTGCATTCCTGACAGAATTGCATTCCTGATTGAATTACAGCAGAATTCAATTATTGCTGTCCTATTTGTGCAAATATAGACCCCTTTAATTTCAACAGGATTTATTCTCAAAATTATTCTTTGCTCTAGAATTGAAGCCTGAGATTCCAATCTTGGTTTTATATGATAGCATTAAACTGTATGATCTTTTAGTTTGTATACCAACATTAGTCATTTAAGAAGAACTTTGAGAAGTACTTTGCATTATGATTCCACAACTATATTAGATACAAGATATTTGTTGGATAGTGAGAAACTACAGGGGATCTCTTTGTGGTTAGAATCACTCTGGTGTCAATGGCTAAACAGCTATCACTTAGGACCAAAGTGAATTCATACGTTGCGATGTTTTTGAAACTGCATTATTTACATATTGTGCATTAATGTCTAACATGCATGAATTATGTAGTTGTCTAACATGTTTTCCTGTTTGGATGCAGAGCAGATCTTCAAGAGGTCTTGCAGGAATATAAAGAAGGAATTGGAAAATTCATAGGTAAAAGTATAGGGGTGGCTTTTCATCATTAATGAAGCATGATAAAGTAGGTATTATTGCATCTAACATTATTTGGAATAGAGTGTAATCCATATACTGCTAAAACACTTATGTCTCTAACCTTTAACTGGGCAAAGTGGTGCATCATAGGGCAAACATTTGTACATAGAATACCTCAAATGAGATAACTTACAGAATGCCAGGACCCAATACTCCCAAAGGAATGAAATTTGGGGGCGTAGTGAGTTGTTCAGTGCTGCTAGGCTGCTGCATAATCCTGATTTTCAGCAATTCTATGATAATTTCCAGACCATTTGCATAATTTCTTGTTCCCTCTCCCAATTAGCAGCCACTTATCTGCCTCCTAGTGAGGGATGGAAGGAGGGAAGGTCAGAGGAGAAAGCAAATAAAAAATATCTGTGAACAGAAATTAATTATCCTCCTTATTCTCCAGCCCCCAATGATGGGAACAATAACAAATATGGAGTCCTTGGTGCTGTCTCAGCTTGATTGTTCAGAGAGCATCACTAACTCCACAATCCAACACTCTTTTATTGGCAAAAGTAAATTTGCATTTTAACTAACTGTAGGAGAGTTAGTAAAAAAAATTCTGATGTTTTCTTGCAATGCTGCTAGCTGACATTGCAAAAGAAACGTATGTTTTTTGTCTAAGTTAAATCAATAAGTGTGATACTCCCATTTGAATCCCTGGAAATAGAATTAATTCTTTTTATGGGCAACCCCCATAAGGCATGCTTTGGCAACCTTTGTTTACTAATTTCTGATCAGTTATGATCCAGGAGATATGCCTTTGAATTTAAATAAGGATGAGGTGGATAAAGACATCCATTTGAAATTACAGGATAGAGATAGCATTGGTGATCGACTATTGGTTGTTGCAATGTATGTTGATTAAATGACTTAAGATTTATTTGGAACAAGTTTTACATATTTTCGACTAATCTGTATGATGGGTCAAACCTAGAGGCCTCTCCATTTTTATTACTAAATTTTAAATCCTTAAATCTTATACCAGTTATATCATACAACAGTCTAGCCATTCTGTGCATCTGATGAAGTGAGCTTTAGCCATGGGTGGGATTCAGGCCGGTATGGGCAAACTGGTAGTTCCAGTGATAGTTTGGCTCTGCCCACCCGCTCCTGCTCTATTGGGTGCTATATTTCCTTTGCTTGAAGCCCAGCTGATTGGTGTGGCAGCCTGGATTGCCACTCCTCAGCTGTTTTGACTTACTTAGGCTGCAGTAAAAGGTAAGTTTTCCTTCTATTGTCAAAAGCACCATGTGTGCGCATGTGTGTGTGAAGCACATGTCCACCAAACCGGTTGTTACACGGGTTGAATCCCACCACTGACTTTAGCTCCTGAAAACATATGCTCTTTAAGAAGTTGGATAAATTGCTCTCAGATCCCTTCTGATTTTTTGTTACCAGAAATTAACAATGTAGATCTTTTTATTAGATTGTCCTGAAAAGTAATTAGAAATGTTTAGTGGAATGTTATAGTTTTTGGAGACTTGTTATTAATAGTTTATTTAAGTGATACAGCATTATGATAGAAAAATTCATTGTCAATATATTAAAGATAATATTTTATTTTGGACTTAGGTATGCCAGAATCAGTATCATATTGTTCCCTTCAAGACCCTGCTGTTTGTTCCCCTCATGGCTACAATAGCACGAAGGTATAGTAAATTTGACTATTTTCGTGGCTTTTCAGTCTTGGCTCTTCACTCCGCTCCCTACTGTTTTTAAAGGAATAATCATAATAGTGGCAGCAACTGAAGATTCCTGCATAGCCATTTAGAAAACACGTAGGAGAACGGAATCAATTCATAGTGGAAAAATCAGCTAATTTTTTTTTCTTTCCTTGTTTCTGACAGGCTGTATCTATATGGAATAATAGAGGACGGAAAGAACTCACAGCATCAAAGTTCATGGACATCCAAAAGGTTATCCAGCCAGACTGGTTCCAGTGTTTATCAGATGGAGACACTATTTCAGGAGATATCTCCAGAAAGAAAGCCAAGAAATCTGTAGATCGATCATTATGCTTTTTGGATGAATGTCTACAATTGCAAGAAAATTGTCCAGTAAGTGTTAAATCTTTTTGAGGTGTATATACACATTGAAGTTACTTGCTAATTTTTAGATATTCTGGTAAATGCAGCTTGCATTGTTGCAGCTTGCAACAATTCCTGCATTGTTTCTGAAAACTCCTATATTTATGTAATCTATAGAACATGTCTTTTTCTTTCTGTTTTCTTTTTGTTGTATAGAACTAAGTATAATGATTCTTTCCCTTTGTATTATTAATTTTAATTTTATATTGATAAACCCAATTATTTTGGGGCCGTGTTGTTGTGCACTCTTCCACAAACCCCTTTGCAATAATACCACAACACTCTTAATTAGAGCCATTCCAGTTTCTCTGGTCAGAATCTCTGAATATCATTTTATTTAAAATGTTTATATCTTGTTTTTATAAAGCCTTGAAGCTTGGAATATTTAGAATAACAATACCAAATACATTTTGTATAGAATCTATATCTTTGTGGATATGTAATTGGTGGAAAGGCCAATTATAATGAAAAAGTAAGTTTAATGTATGCATTGAGAAATTAGTAACATATACTGTCTTTTCTTTCCAAAACAAAAATTGTTCTTCTATTAATCATTTGGCCTTTTAAAAGAAAAAAAAATAGTTTAAACTTCAATTAGAGCAAATAATGCCCAGCTTGGTCTTTTATAGAGTTTTATAAAGAAGTGGCAATCTAGACCTAAATGGGGAATTATATTTCACTAATGGAAGAAAATTTCAATCTGTTAGGAAAAATAGTTTTAAAAAAGTTAAAATATTCTTAACTAGAGCCATCAATAGTAGGACTATAAATCATATGTGTGTATTATTAATGATATGGGGATGGAAGAAAAAATAAATGCCAGCTTATTTTAAATTTTATGTTCTTTCCTTATTCTATTCTTATTGTTTGATATCACTGGGGTAACAATCTGCAGAAAGGACTTTCCATTCCAACTCTGTCCAACTTCTGTTTACCCAAGGATGTATTTATAGTTTACATATATATGACTCTTTCATACCAGGAATTGAAACAAAGTTTGATGATTGGCGTTATTGAAGGTGGAGATGTGTTGGAGGAAAGACTAAGATCAGCCAGGGAGACTGCCAAGAGACCGGTGGCTGGATTTCTTTTGGATGCCTTTCAAGGAAATACCATGACTAAAGAGACTAAATTGGAGCTCTTAACCTCTGTTATAGCTGAGCTGCCAGAAGATAAACCAAGGTCAGAGCTAAATGGGATTTTTATTTAAGCATATATAATGCACCACTTGGATGGATTTTCACAAACACAGAGCACTATTAAATGTAGAATGAGATACTGTGTTATGTGGTATTATATAAATAGATTTTAATAAGTTAAGACAGGCTTGGAAAATTCTCAGCTGATGTAAAGCTGCATGAGCTGCTCCTGTCCCTTTGTTTTTATTGTTCAGAGCACCCACAATTATGCTAGGAAGTAATAAAATGGGCATTTTCAAAAAGCAATTTGGGGATATTTTAAAGCTTATGTTGTGTCATTCACCCAATTACATTCAAAATCAGGGGGGAAAGGTTGGAATTTGTGATTCTGTTATTTGTGATTATTAAATTTGAAGTTATTGCAAGCTGAATACTGATACAGTTATACATTATTTTTGTTAATTCATTTAGCACCATAAAATTATCATTTTGAAAAAATACCACCGTTAAATGATACTAGTATTTTTCAACCATTGTAGTACTACTTCAAGTTGACAATGTAGCCTCTATCAAAAATTCATTCTGTAAATTGCAGGTCCTTATTTTATGAAGCCATCTGCAAACAACCATGTTTAGTAAAGAATATTGCCAATTGAAGCTCTGAATATTTTTTTGTTTTATTTGATTTACGCACTGCCTAATTCCAAAATGATTCTACATTGCATACAATTTTAAATATACAACAAGACAAAATACAATACAATAAAAATATACAAGGTAACATCTGAGCACTCAAAACATTGTATATACAAAGACCTAACCAAAAAATGGGACCCATCCACTCCACCCTACCTGGGGTATTATACAACATGGGAAGAAATGCTTTCCAGTTTTTAAAGTGCATGTGTGCATGCGTTTTTGCATGGAAAGAACAAGAATTGGTTTCTTTTTGAAGGAGACCATTATAATTCCAAAGAGTTGTCTAGTTCAGCTTCTAATCTTATTGCCAATGTTCATTAAGAAAACCTAATTCTCTTTTATTCTCACCAAAAGTCTTTCAAAAATAATTTATAGTTTATCATGCCTTCCTCAAATAAACAGATTATTTTTACAATAATTGTCATCTTCCTTCTCTCAGATTGAGATAAAGATATGTATTGTACAAATAATAGGAGACAACAGTATGTCAAATTTTGCAGGCATCACTCTATTTTTAATAAGTATCTTAGATTGCTATTAGAAAGGTTGCATTTAAGGAACTACAAATGTTAATGATTTGTATAATTGTTAACAGAATGTAATTATCTTATTCAGGAAGCTTAAAAACTAGTTTATATAGTTGTCAGCACATTATTCCTGTTGAGAGCAAAATTGCTATTCCTTTACCTTTCCAATCTTATAAGACCTGCCAAATGAATTTAGAGTCTGGCATCCTTAATAATAGTGCAAGAAGCTTAGTAAACCCAGCTACATTTTCAAGCCCCAAGGAGACTTTTGTATATGCTGATAGTAAAACATTTTTCCTTTGTATTTCAAAACATTATTTTGATCATAACAAGCTTAGGTTGAGTTAGAAATTCTGAAAGTCAAATTTGAAGCATACTAGTGCTGTGATTTATCCTTTTTCTTTGGTTTGGTTTTCCATTACAACAAGAGAATTCTAAAAAAATGAGTGTATTGTGTATTTGTATGTAGAGTTTTTGTTGTTGTTTTTGTTTGCCTTCAACCAAACTTGACTCATGGTGATGGTATGCACAAGTCTAGTCAACATATCAGGAGTGATTGGCCATTGGCTTGTTTTATGGCTACGAGAGGATGACTAGTACAAAGTGCCTTGGTTAGTTTCCATACCAAAGCAAAAGTAGAACTTAAAGTTTCCTTCATTCAAGTCTAGTACATTAGCCATTAGATCAAGTGAACTTTCAGGTATATTTTTAGGCTCAGTTTTGAGAAGCTCTGTATAATACAATACCATAATTATATATAAGTTCCGTGCTGGTGTAAGAATGCCAGGAGCCCAGTGCCACTTTCTGTCCTTCCAGAATGGTACAGAGGATTCTGGCAATGCAATAAGTATCCTCTGAAGGAATGGTTGAATTATGTCTCCATTTATTTTGGAAAAATAACCCCACCATCAAGAATCTGAGGATGCTGCAGGCTTCAACTGGAATATTTAGGGCCACATTACACCCATAAGAATGATGTATCCTTCAGAGTTTTAGCCAATGAGAGTGTTCCATTTTCCATTTCTTTCACTGTTAAGGGGACATATATAATGAATCAATCATAGGTATAAACTAGCATATTTAAGGAATTAAAAATGCAATCTCTTGGTTGTTACAATTTCATTACCTGTTCCAGTGTGCCACTAAAATAGTTACTGTCATTGGTCAAATATAATGTCCATTGGGATGCAAGGCAATTTGATATTTATTGGGGAATGTTGGAAGGATTTAAAAACAGAAAATAGTTATGTTGTATCTTCCTTCTTACATCATAGAGAAAATTTGGATTAAATTTAGTGGATTCAGCTATTATTTCAGATGGTCAAGTTGTTAAAGATATGGTTGGTAACTTACAGATCTTTGAGGGATGTGGTAGCTCAGTGGCTAAGACGCTGAGCTTGTCGATCAAAAAGGTTGGCAGTTCGGCGGTTCAAATCCCTAGCACCGCATAATGGAATAAGCTCCTGTTACTTCTCCCAGCTTTTGCCAACCTAGCAGTTCGAAACCATGTAAAATGCAAGTAGAAAAATAGGGACCACTTTGGTGGGAAGGTAACAGCGTTCTGTGCACCTTTGGCGTTTAATCATGCCAGCCACATGACCACGAAGATGTCTTTGGACAGCACTGGCTCTTTGGCTTTGTAACAGAGATGGAACCAGAAACTAGCACGCATGTGTGGGGGGGACCTCCACCTTTACAGATCCTTATAACAGTTTTTCTCCCCAATTAAGTGCCCTTCAGATGATTCCCTGAATTTCCATCCAGTCTTCATATCTGTAGCCAGATTTGGAAGAAATACAACACTTCTGGAGGGAGAAGTGAGGGAATGCTTTGTATACAACATATACAATAAGTAACTTTCACGTAAATTACCTCATAATGTAGGATAGGAAGTTAGCCTTTGAAGTTTTTCTCACCTACTTCTGAATTTTGGAGCAAGGTTGTTTTGGAATTCTGATAAATCAGTGTATGTGAATCCCAAGATATATAGAGTAGATGTAAGGCCTTCCGCTTCCCTCAGGCTTTATAGGTCATGCTTCACCTATAGCTCAGAAACATTGTTGGTTGTTTGGGACTAGTTATAAATAGCTACCTGACTTCATTGTTAACCATAATTACTGTAAGTATAACTCCAGAATTTACCAAGGTAAAATTGGAAAAGAGTATATGAACAGGAGAACAAAATAAATTGCAAAAATATGTATCGATTATTATTTTAAAATGCCTTTTTGTTTTGATCTATTGCAGACTAATCCATGGAATTGGTAAACCAGATGAAGTTCTGGAGTGCATTAAAAGAGGAATAGATATTTTTGACAGTTGTTTTCCTTATCAGGTGACAGAACGATTCTGTGCTTTGTCCTTCAATTATGATTATCAATTGAATACTGAAACAACAGGTATTGGTCTTGATAATCTTGTGTGCATGGGAATATTTGAATAAAATATTGGTAATGTGAGTTTTGAAATTCTTAAAATTCCAATCTTTATGCTTATTCTGTTTAACATCCTTCTGAGAAGGTTCTAATTATGTTGTTAATCGCCTTCTCCTTTTTGTCCTATTGCACTGTAAACAATACCTTACTTGTTATACCAGAAGTGCTACTTCTAACTGAGGCTTAGTTAAGACCAGTATTGTTTATAGTAAAACCTCAGTTTAGCAGATCTCAGAACAGCAGATGTTACATTCAGTGAATTAAAGTTCTACAACAGTTTACACAATTACTGCAATAATTTCATTGCATAAATGATATAAGTAGATGCACGTGATCTAATTTCCATAATTTTGGTAAAGAGATTTTACAAAAGATGTAAATCACCACAGTGACTTCATATTTGATATCTCTTTATGAATAATGGAATCTCTTTCCCCCATTCATTTATTAAAATAATGTTTTGCTGATGATTAGCATCACCAGTTAGCAATTTCATTTCAACCTCATATGGTTGAAGAAACCAAGATAGTTTTAAGGACTTTTTGACTTTGTGCTGCTGATGCTTTTCTTAAAAAACAAATAAACAAACAAACCTTATATATTAATCAGTCATATGTGCACAATTTGTTGTTTTGTTCTTTGGCCTTCAAACCTTGATAAGAAAATCCAAGGACTACTCTTTAAAAATGTAAATATTTTCCAAAACAGTGAAATTGCTGTCGTTCACAATTGAGTAAATGTGAGGATTAAAATAAAGCAGTGGGGATCTTAATGGCTGAGGATTTTCATGCTTTGACCGCTCAGATCTTTTATATCTTTTATCACCCTTTTTAGAAGTTTCTCACAATTTAATAAGTCATACGGATTCTACAGTAAAGTGCAAATATTAAATGATCTATTATTTTGCCCACCATTATAAGATAAGCTGTCAAGTCTCTGCATTTATTAAAGTATATACAAACTCATAAGCTAGTTGTAGAATATTCAAAAAATGAATAGGATTTCTATGTATTTTATATCTTTTCTCCTGATCATGATTATGAAACTTAATCCTGCTAGACATTTACAGTTGGAAAATAGGAACGTTTCCTTTTTAAGACTATATCACTGTCTTAATGGCTCATGTTAGGAATATGAGTCACCTAACAGCTATTTGGGTTAGAAATATATAAACCAGGATAAACATTTTAAAACTGTATCCTTAAGAAAATGCAAAACTGTAATTAGGTGTGGTTTCTCAAACGGCCATAAGATGAAGCCAGAAACTGGATTGTTTTGGTCTTAGTCTCAGAAGAGAGTGTGAGTGTATCTTTGTTTCCTTCTGTTGGAAAGTATTGCCGTTGCTCCATTTTTCCTAATTGACTGATATTTTCTGGATTTAATGTAAGCCTGTTACTGAACTGTTTTTTGACACTTGACTTTGATATTTGGATTATCCCTGGATTGAAAACTGATTGATTTAACTTGTGAATGACTTTGGATTGCTTATTTTGGACTTTGCTTAAACCTTTCTGGAAGTAAAAATCTACATTTACTGGACAGTGTATCTGTGTGCTCTGTGTGTATTATTCCAACACTACTCTCTATATGTCTCCCTGTATGCGCTCATTCTCCTAACGGGGAATTACCTCAACAGCTCAACCTCAACTTTGTGATTAAAATGTAAGAGTAAATTGATAGAACATGAATCTGTTTTAATTAAAAATAAGTACAATACCACATTGCATTTAATAAAATTTGGTTAGAATGTGGTATTGCTTATTTTGCGTGCGTGGATAGTTAACAAAACAATGAGAAATGCAGCCATTTACATTTTAAGCTTTTAACATTAGATTGCCTCCCTTTCTCCTATTTTACTGCCTTGTAAGTATCAAAACTATTTGATTCCATATTTTGTGACAGTTGTTTTAACATTTTAGCCTTTAAGTATGAACTTCTCCTTTATTGCAGATATAAAAGAAGATGGAAAAACAGAGGTGAGGAAAGATGATGAAAAAACAAACGATGAAACATGCAGTGAAGCTCAAGAAATGACTTCATTTGAAATACATCTGAAAGAAATAAAGTATGTTGGTTTCTGTTTTCTTAAAATTTCAGCTTTTTGTATGGGTGGGTCCTGAGTAATATTATAGTGGTTGTTGCATTAATTGGGAAATATGTTCTGCTGAATATTGTGGGCCTAATTTCATAAACAGGTGGTTGCTTAATATTCTCCATTCCCACCTTTTTTGCCATTTTGAGAACTACTTGTGACCACAGTTGCGAAAATTAATATTGTGGTTGCTTACCAATTTCACTTAAAGAACGCAATTTTAGCCTTAACAGAAGCTTAGCATTTGAAGAGAAAAATTCTCAGTTTTTCTCTGAGAAAACCTTAGGTCTTCAAATTTTTTATGACCTGACACGTTACATGGAAACCATTGGCATCCAAGGGGTGCTTTTTATGCTACAGATATATTTACTTATCTGAAAACAAGTCCCACTGAATTTAAAGAAACTGTTAAGTCATTTTGCATATGAATTTACTGTGTCTTGAGTCAAGTTATGAATTGGTCAATAATTCTGCAGAATACCAATAATCATTCATTCCTAGTTGCTATTGAATTAAGTATCCTGTCTCCTACTTGCTACTAAATACTGGTGATGCTTTTAAAACTGTAGGTATGTCTGGGCAAAGGAAAAAAATAGATCACAGTCATTTTTAAAACGAAACAAAACATTTTTCATGGGATTTGATGCTGTGCTATAGACATTCTTGGAGGATGATCTTATAGTTAGGGCCATTCATGAAACATTAACTGTCCTATGATATGATGTATTGAGCCATATAATTTTCTGAGGTTAACAGGACTCCTAGATATCTTCATCATGATGTTTTTTCAACTATGCGCTCAGCAGTCTGGTTACATGGATCTCTTATAATGTTAAAAATATAATAGAGCTCTCTCACAGCGTATTTTATCCACGTGAGTTACATAATTTAGAAGACAACAGGGTCAAACCTGCTGGTTCTGTCTTGTTGCTTCTCCCCAACTACCTTGATCCTGCTGTAATCATATCATGTATTAAAAAAACTTCTAAAAAAAAAGTCCAACATGCCAACTTGTATAAGCAGTTCACCATATTAAACATTCCTTTTCCTACTTTTTCTATGAAGGTTGAACCACTGGGAAATACAATAGAATAATATAATCATTATCAAAAAAATAAGTCTGAATAAAAGTAATAAAGTACAGAGAACCGTAGTAATTCATACCAAAAAGCACTTTGCAAAAACTTTTCATTATGAGGATCATGACAGCATATGTTTTTAAATTCTATAACATTTCTGTTGGGATTCTCTTGACTGATAAGTCCTTTGTCAACTGATCTAATATCAGTTGTTAATTTCAACCACAGTATTACACCAAAATATGTCAGATTGTAAGTTTCTTAAATTGCTGAGCTGTTCTGACATTTTTGTGAAGTACTGTGTATATAGATAATGACATATAATGTTGATAATATCAGTGATCATTAAATGTTCATGCTGTGTTCAGCAATTAGGTTATAGTTAGTTTTCAGAGTTACCACACTGGGCTCAAAGGATGTGCTTAGCTGCATGGATGATTTACTTCTTATCCATAAATGTGCTTTTCTTTTTTAGATACCAGGATGATTTTAATCCTATAGTAAACGGATGCTCATGCTATTGCTGTCAAAACCACAGTCGTGCCTATATTCATCACCTCGTCATGACCAAAGAGCTGCTGGCTTATGTGCTTCTTATGATGCATAACTTTCAGCATTACTTTAGCTTCTTTTCTTCTATCCGAAATGCTTTGAAAGAAGATAAGTTGGATCAGTTAAGCAAGATTATCAGCAGGCAAGCCCTCTAAAGTCAGATATGTTAAAAAAAAAAAAACAGGGCTTCCCCAACCTGACTTACTCTTCTGGATCAAGATTATGGAGAAGAGATACTATACAATGAGGGTAGACACCCATGATAGAAGAAAAACCATATTTTGCCTAGTATCTCATATCTTTTTTTTAAGTCCTTATAATTTTAGGAAAAATTGAGATTCTTTTTCAGAGGCATTAATCTTTGAAAAAGATAAAAATAAGGATATTCTCTAGAAGAACTCACAGACTTTTCTGAATTGTATTAATGATATTAACTTAGGAACATTTGAACTGCAATAGGAAGAAAAGAACATCAACTAATCGGGGGAATGGGAAAACAACTCCACATCTTTTGAGATACAGATGTACTACTATTGTATATTAATTTATTTTATTTTTTAAATATCAGGAAGAGATGACATACAGTAGCTAAAAATCATAGGAAAAAATAGTTTCTGTTATGAATTATATCTCACTTGGACACTTCTGATGGTAGAAACATTTTAAAATAATGCATTCCTTAAATTGTTCTGTGTTCTTGTTAGATAGACAGTTTTTTCCATATGTTGTAAGTTACCTGCTAGAGACCCTGATTTTAGAGCTATCTAAAAGATAGCTGTTTATCTGAAGGATATGGATTGCACTTTCAACCTTTTACAGTAATGTTTTGGGAGGGGGATGAGTAAGGTTTTGATAGTAAAAACAAATACAGCAAATAATGTATTTCAGGTTTCTTTAGATTATTCGGTTCAATTTTATTTTTTCTACTGGGTTTTTACTACTATATTTGAATGTTAAAAGTTTTTATAATATCAAATTTATTTTACTGCATGGGGAACTTTAATAAGACATTATATCTGGGAAATGCAGTAAGGCATGAGGGAGAGAAAGAGAGGGCGGGAACTCATAAAATAGAGAAAAACTGTGAGAGTGGGAAGCCCAGGCAAGATGATTCTGCAAAAAGCCAATATGAAGACTGGAGAGATAGATTGTCCTCATCTCTCTTGTCAGAGCCAAGTCTAATGGGCTTAAGAAAGAGCTGATGTTTAAGCATTACTGAAAACAACACAGTAATTATCAGACGTCAATATGAATTTGTCAAGAGCAGATCTTAATGGACTTACCTTATCTCATGTTTTGATCGGGTATTCAAACAAGTAACACCATTATAATATGGATTGCATTGGTTGCCTGCATTTCCAGAAGCAATTCAAGATTCTGGTTGTCACCCATTATTTTATCAATGGCTGGAGAATAAAAATGGAAATTAGAAACTTATAGAAGACTAGGGAAAAATAGTAAGCATGTGAATAAGAATTAAATATGGTAAGAAGGGGAATGTTATAATAATTAAATATATTATGTATAGTAATATGAAGTAAGAACAGAGTACTGATATAATCGTAATGAATGTGTATTAATTGTAATGGATATTGATCAAGATATTTGTACCCAGACAACGCACTGCTTAAACAGATGATGGATTGTTTGCATAGAATAAAATTAAAAATGTAATAAAAAAGAGATTCTGGTTGTCACCTTTAAAGCTCTTCCAGTTTGGGACCAGATTACTTAAAACCATCTTCTTGCAGTGATTTCTACCTGTCCAAATTTGTCTGATAGGTTGAGCGTGCTAAAGGTCCTGCCAGCCAAGGAACGTTGGCTGGCGGGGACTAGGAGACTTCCTTTTCCTGCCATAGTCCCTACCCTCTGGAACATTCTCTCCTCAGTTGAGGATGGTCACTGAAGAGAAGTACCACCAAATGTATTTCCCTAATAGATGGAACTCTATAGATGGTGGGTCAGATAGATGTAACTGGGGAGAGGCAGTCCTTTAAATAACTTGGTTTCAAGCGTGTTGGGCTTTAAAGGTGGTAGGTGGCATCTTTAATTGCACCCAGAAGCAAATCGGCAATCTATGCAGCTCCTGTAAAAGGTAACAGGTGCACAAAATTTGGCGTGCACAAAATTGTGTGAGCCAATATGTTTTGAGCCAACTAAAAGTACCAGCTACTCTTCAAAGGTAGTCCCATGTAGAGCGCATTGCAATAGTTCAAAGGGGAGGTGACCAAGGCACAAGTGATTTGAGAAGGGCCTGGTGATGAATGGATGTAACTGGCACACAACACACAGTTGTGCAAAGGGTGTCCTGACTATTACTGCCACCAGGAGTTGTGAGTCCATGAGAGCCCCCAGGTTATGCACCAGGTGTCTGGGGTAGTGCAATCTAATCCTCGAAATAGCAATTCCCCAAGAGCCAAGGAGCCCTGCATCTAATGCTACTCAGTCTTGCCAGGGCTCAATTTTAACTTGATATCAACACCCTCCAGGCACCAAGGGAGGACTGTTACAGCATTGGAGTTAGTTCTGGAAGTTTCAGCAGTGCCACCACAGAAAAACCTCCTCATTCTAGCTTGTTTGTTAAGTAAAGACAACATCTGCAATCACAGATTTCATGTGAAATGACCTAGGAAAAGATATAGAATATCTAAAATAATACCTAGCTCTCATTTCTGAGCTTGACTAAGCTTTGGAAAATCATGTTTTGGAAAATAATAAAATTAGTTGTGAATTTGTACAATAAGTTATATATGCAAATGGTTTTGATTTTTTTACTGATTTCACTGCTGATATTTTTATAGTGCCTCTTCTCCATGTATATGATTTCCAGAGTGATCTTTGTTAACATCTCATAACAAAAAAGGAAAGGAAAGGAAAGGGTTAGGGTTACCTCCTCTTCCAAATGTTAGAAAATAAGGAGAATCCTTTCTGTGAGAAATGCTATATGGCTGAGGCTATACAGAAGCTAACAGGTGTATAAACAATTTTAGGAAAAGTAGCTAATAGTTGCACTATAAATTCTGAATAATAGTCCCTGAATCATCAAGCCACATAAATATTGTACAACTTTTGGAATTACTTCAGAGAGGATATTGAGCAAAACGAGCTACTATTCTTCCTGGAAAATCCACTTAAGACTAATATGAATTACTATTAAAGTTATTGAGCAAATAGTCTGGAGGACAAAAGGGAAGATATCTGAGGCATGGTGGAGCCCTTGGACACTTCTGCCTTTCCACATAAAATGTGAAAGTTATATAGTCAGTTTATAGTCAAGGTTATCAGAGGAATATCATTACTATATGTAATAGACTGAACATACTATTATATTCCAAAGCAGTTATATTTGAATAACAAACATATCTATTGCTGTGTTTACAATCATCAGAACTGATGGAATGTGCACTGTAATTCTACCAAAGCATCCAAGGGATCTTTAGAGCCTAAATGGATTTAAGAGGCAACAATTTTATGTACACTCAGTTTTGGATGTATCCAAATATAACGGGATTGTACTGTAAATAAATTATCTAGAAACATTACTGATATTAGTTCAATTTATTTTCTAGTAAAGTCCATCTTTAAAAGAGTTGTTATAATTGTACAATCAGCCAGATATGTAGACTGGTTTTGGATTTTTTTCCCACCTCTCCAGTTCTTCCCAAAGACCCCAGATAAAGAGTTATTTGTTGGTGTTCCACCTCAGAATTGTTGTTCAAGTAAAGCTACCTTTTGTAGTTGAGTGAATTTGTCAATGTCTAAGTGTTCAAGTGGTGCTGCAGATGTTTTGGGATTTCACCTAAGGCATCTATTAGTACTGATATTTTTTTGTTTTCTTTTTTCTTTTATTAAATGTAATATAGCTGCCTACTCCATTAGACTCCAAATGGCTTACAAAATATAATAGTAAATTAAAACAATAGAAAACAATGAATCAAGACAGGCCAAACTAAAACCAACCATTAAAATGAAACATCATAGCTTCACCGTAAACACATGTATTCCAGTCCTAAGGCCAAGGCAGGTTTTAAGGGCTTTTCAGAACTCCAGGAAGGCACCATTGATGGATATTAGTATATAGACCTTATTTTGTCTGACTTCAACTCTCATACATTTTTTCAATATACAGCTACAAATCAAAGAGATGTTTCAGGGGAAGTCAGTCATCCTCAAGCCTCTTCTTTTTTGATTCTTATTTGCTAGCATCTTACTAATTTCATACAAGAGCATAGAATACCCCAAAATTTTGAAGTATACTGTAGGTAGTCCTTGACTTACAACCACAATTGAGCCCAAAATTTCTGTTGCTAAGTGAGACATTTGTTAAATGAATTTTGCCCCATTTTATGACCTTTCTTGCAACAGGTTACCAGAAATTGTTAAGTAAATCATTGCAATTATTAAGTTAATAACAATATGCAATGTATGAAGCAACTGTTTGGAACACGTTGAACAAGTGTATCACTTCCTGGGCTCATGCAGTTTCCTTCAATCTTGGGAAAAGATACTTTTGGTTTCAAGTTGTTTTGATAAGTCCTATGTATCCACAATCCAAATAACATTTTACTGTTTGAATTATATTTCTTGACCTAGTAAATATATTACAAGTAATTACAATGACTTCTTTTTATGAAAAGAAGTAGCTAATTTGGTTGGTGGATTGGGACAAGTGGATTTATTAACATGAACATAGTCCATTGTACTTCAGGAAAAAGTCTTTAGAGTAACTTGTCTGTTTGACCAATGGTTCTATATGTGTCTCTATGAAAGTGTCGTCACAATGATACATTATAAGGTGGTTATGGAGTAAAGATTCACAGGATCTTCAGCCTGATGTTGTAGGCATTCAATGATGGTACTGAAGAAGTTTATGGAATATGCATGCAGAAGAAAAAGTGAACAAAGTGAAGAAAAACAGCTTCCCATTTTAAGTGGCAAATAACCTGAATATCAACCCTAAATATTTATGCTAGGAGATATCTTAAAGTGTAATTCTATTAAAGTGCTCAACAAGCAATCATAATAATATTACATATTGCATTCATTAAAATACTGTGTTTGCCAGGGATGCAAATTCCAGGGCACTGGCTGTGCTAATCAAATTGTGTCCCTTGAACTCTGTAACTAATGAAATTTTTTTACAATACCAAATATTGTGGTACTGCAATTTAGAGGACTTTTCTCTACCACATATAGCAAAATTAATAAATCTCACTATTATAAAAATATTTCCCACATAACAGAGAAAATTCATCCTGATGAACAAATCAATCTGTTACACCTTTCTTTCCTGTTCCTGCAAGGAATACAAAGCACTCCCCAAATTTTTAGCAGTACAGAATCTTAAGGAAAGCTTTACAGAACTTATTGTTGAAGGTGGTTTTAGATGATAGGTTTCAGGCTACTGTTGATTTAACCAAGCCAAGTGGTAACACTGTAGAGTTCTGGGGAGACATGGCAGGCTTGACAATGATTATTCAATATGTGTGTCTCCAATATGTGTGTCTCCAAAGAAAGGCAGTCAGGAGACTATAAAAGTCTCTAGGATATAAAAGACAACGAGAAAGCAACGTATTTTTGCTCAATGGTTAATTAAATCTTCATTCACATAAATCTAAAGGCACTTATCTAAGGCAATCTGCCACTCTGAAGATAATAAGTGAACAAGGTCAGGGGTGGGATTCATTTTTTTTAACCGGTTCTGTGGGCGTGGTTTAGTTGGTGGGCGTGGCTTGGTGGTCATGTGACTGGGTGGAAGTGCTTGGTGGTCATGTTATTGGCTGGGCATGGCCCACTTAATATCACATCGAGGCACGCATCTCCTCGCCTGGCTTCTCATGACTGTGGGGATGCTGCAACAGTCATAAATGTGAAAAACGGCCATAAATCACTTTTTTCAGTGCCATTGTAACTTTGGTCACGCCACACAAGCAAAGTACCAGCAAAGGAGGGGAAAAAAACTCCAGAGAAGTTCCAGAGACAGGAAGTCTAGTCCTGCCAAGAATGTAATAAGGGTTAATGGAGAGGCAGTTTCTGTAAGCAACACCAGAATGTTTCTTTCCTGCCTTCCTTACAGGATTAGGCCAGTAATTTCTTCTAACAACCGGTTCTCTGAACTGCTTAGAATGTTAACAACTGGTTCTAGTGAATAGGTACGAACTGGTAGAATCCCACCCCTGAACAAGGTCAAATTAATTCTGTCTGTTTTTAAGCTAACTACACATTATTCTAGAAAATACTTGGAGATCCTTGACTGTCTGTTCACATATCTTATTAACACACATGGAAGCTAGCAATAATAAAACTAAATATAATTTTAGCTAACATTCAGTAAATTTATTTTTAATAGATAATGGAAAAAACTATTTAAATGTGAGTTATTTTGTTGCTAATTTATTCCCCTTTGACGCAAGGTACTTCTTGGTAATCTGAACTGAGAAAACACATATGTGGTTATTTTTTTCTCTATGATTGGAAACAAAATGGAGAAAAAAACTTGATCCAAAACCAGTATTAAATACTTTGGCTTCATAAACTGCTATATCTACTTTTTCTTAAAATAAGCCTTAGTCACCTGTTTTGAAGTGGTTCCATTGTACAATTTCACACCATCTTATGGGTGCCAAAATATAACTTTTAAAAATATAATCAAAATATTGCATATTTTAAAAAGTTCTTATTTTTAAACAATGTACACATTTAATTTTAAAAATGTTTAAACATGAAAAATAATATTGAAATTATTTTGACGATTAATAATTTAGTCATCTAGTCAAATCATAGGAGATTTCATATGGAAACAGCTTGTACCAGGGGTCCCCAAATTTGGCAACTTTAAGACTTGTGGACTTCAACTCCCAGAATTCCTCAGCCGGCTATGCCTTGTCTTAAAGTTGACAAGGTTGGAGACCCCTGTTCTA